GGGAGAGAGAGAAGGGAGGGAGACTAGCAGGTGCTATGCTACTGAGTTTGAAAATGGGGCATGGAGACATGAGACAAGACATGCAGGTGGTCTCTAGAAGTTGGACAAAGCAAGGAAGTGAATGCTCCACTAGAGTCCCCAGAAGGAACCAGCCCTGCCTGCTGATTTTAGTGCCCTGAGATTAATTTTGGACTTCTGACCTTCAGACATGTAATGATTGTATTATTGTTTTAAGTGACTAGTTTGTAGTAATTTGTTACAGCACCCACAGGAAGCTAATACAGAGGCCAACTGTAGTAGCACATAAAGAGGATATGGAGTGGGGAAGGAATGTTCTGGAAGAATTACTCGGAGGTGATGAAACCGGAGCTGAGGAAGGGAGACTGCAGAAGTTAGTGTGTGCAAGGCACACAGGGAGCATGGGAAGTGTGTCAACAAGGCAATGCTACGTTTATTAAACGTTAGAAGTAATATCAACAATATTAATTCTGATAAACATTTATTTATATGGCAGGCACTGTTCTAACGCAATTATAACTCTGTGAGGTAGAGACAATTATTATCTTCACTTTACTATGGGGACACTAAGGTTTGGCGGAGTTAAGTAATTTTCCTGACATCACAGAGCCAGCAAACCCGCAGAGCTTTAATTAGAGCCTTGGCAGTGTGTCTCCAGAACCCACTAACTGCCTCTCTAATACTCAACTGTGGGAGCCTTAACGACGTAAGAAAGGTGGCATCAGTGTGGTTGAAGATAAATGAACTATTAGAAAGATAATAATGAGGTGGGAATCAGCAGGGCTTGGAATATTGTCTAGTCTTACATTGAGGATGAAATTGATAGTCAGCCAACATTCAAGTTTCTTTGATGTGATTCCGGTTTTGCTATCGCTCCAGATAGAGGAGCCTTGACTATCTCAAAGTAAATCACTCCTGTGTTACAACCTCTACTTTGCATAATCCTCTTTATTTTCTTGCAGCCTTTTCCCCTAATGTCTGA